TTCATTAGTGTCTAGTGTTTGTCCGGAGGTACAGGTGCAGAAACAAGCCCCTCCCTTCCTTTGCGGCTCTCCCCTCTCTTTTTCTCTCCTCTCCTGCTTTTTGATCAAACTGTGTTCATGTAGAAGTCGTGCAACAAGCGGCGGCCTTGTGTGGCGCCTGGGGGGGGGGGGGGGGGGGGGGGGGGCAGTGGACTCATAGTGTGAAGGGAAGCGGGTGAGTGTGCGCTGAAGAGTGTGTGTGTGTGTGTGTGTGTGTGTGTTGTGTGTGTGTGTGTGTGTGTGTGTGTGTGTGTGTATGTGTGTGTGTGCGTGCGTGTTCTCATCTTTACACTAGTGCCTGTGTGTAGTTCAACATCCATTTCCCTACTCTCCACTGTCCAATGGTTTAAAGACATGTTAAATTCAGCTGCAGTGGAATAAGTGAGGACATAAGTTTAAATCAAGTATTTAACTTAGTATTAAACATATAAACATGAACTATTCTGATTTGAGAGCAGCCCTTCATATGAAGAAGTAAAACAAATAATGATTGATGAGTAGCTCATATACAATGGAAACATATCCACATCAGCTGTAACATCTGAACACACAAGGATATGCTCAAAGTTGGTACATTTAAATATATATATATATATATATATTTGATAAAGTTCTTCAAAGGATTGAGAAATTAGCGCTATTGGTCAATGTGATCGCTCTTGAATCTTTTGAAAGTATGCCAGTTTTATGCATTATAACTGTTTGTTTTTGTACTTGATATTGTGCTAACTGTTCTGTACCATGGTTTGCCTCCTTGTATTGTTTGTGCATATTGCTGCGGCCATGCTGCCATCATTGCAAGGTCACTCTTGAAAAAGAGATTTTAACCAAAGATAACAAAAGTGGGTCTGCAGATACACAACATATAACTGCACCACTATAACTAGATGTTCCCATTATAAATACAATAGTGTGTGTGTGTGTGTGTGTGTGTGTGTGTGTGTGTGTGTGTTCCTCCCTCATGAATAGATGATACACTCCTCTGTTGCTCCTGTACTTTCTCCTCCTCCTTCATTTGCCTCCTTCCTTATATGATAGTCGTTGGATGAATCAAAAACCTGGACTGAAAGGGCCCCTATTGCTTTCATGTTTGCGTAACCATAGTTACGCACATTTAAGGTAAGCACATCTGAGTCCTCCTCTTTTTCCGGTCCCTTTTCTCAATTCCAGCTCATTACATTTGTATGAACACAAAGTCACCGCGAGTGAATCTGGATGCACCTGATTTTCATAATCTCTTTCAAAGGCTCCAAACTTGTCCTTTACCTTGTTGTCTTTTAATTAGACTCCTTGAACGGTGTATGTACGTGGGCCTACACACGACCTTTACAGAGCGGAGAGAGGAGGGGAGTGTCCTCCATGTGTGTCTCTGGGTTTAACTAGTGTGACATGTAGTGTGCAGCAGCAGCAGAAGAAGGAGAAAAATAAGGGGGAGGAGGAAGACATGGCTCATCCCTACAGGCTGCATTGTACATTATCAATGATGTACTTCTTTGTGTGCGGGGGTCCGCTCTGCATCCTGACTGTAAATGTCTGGCTGGGGGCAATGACTTCAGAGAGAAGGTCACCCTCCGTCCCCCGATGCACATAAATGACTCTTTTATTCATTTGCAGGTTTACAGGAGTCTATGAGGAGAGGGGGGGGGGGTTAAGGTAGAGGGCAAGGAGTCGGAGAGGAGACGGACACCTCCCAAAATGACAGGCGGACAGCGACTGCCAATCAGCTGCAGCGCTGCTCCACCATTCTTATTATACATCCATGTGCTCCACAGGCGGAGCACGCTGCAGCCTCCATGTTGGATCACATGCGGCCAGCCCTTCCACAGTTTCACTTTAATAATTCACACAAGGCAGTGCGGAGCAGCGAGGGGGAGGGGGGGGTTTCTCACTTCATATGCAAAAAGACTGTGACTGCATAATGGGTCAGATGCTGACAGAGGTTTGCCATTTACACTGTGACTCATCCTGATTCCTGTCCAACACTACGCGTCTATTCATCTGCCATCCAGCCGCGCTCATCCATCTCACTTTGCTACAAAAAGATAATAAGAAGGTTTGTGAGGGGGGGGCAACACTTGATGCAGTGTTTGAAACCTCCCTCTCCTCCGCTCCCTCAGCAGCAGAAATCAAACCAAATCAATAAAAGTCATCTCTTCAGATGAACCCGAGCCATCACGGGGAAGCAAAACTACTTTTACTGGGCCCGGGGGAAAACAACCCCAACCCCCGCCTCTCCACCCCCACTCCTCAATCCCTCCATCTCTTTGTTGAGTGTCACATGCTCGGCTGTGATGCACTGGGGGGGGGGGGAACAAGCAGCAGATGTTTTCAGAAAGGAGAAATAACCTTGGTAATTTGGGTCAGAAGTTTGAGAAGAGGAGAGACTGAGTGTTTCTCTACTCTGCCGATAAGGAGGAATATCATGGAGCAGAAAAGTATGAGCAGCTCAAGGACATCCTTTTGAGCTTTAGATTGTGTCTCACTACAAAAAAAGAAAAACAATCCTGTGAAGTGAACTCAGCAGCGGGAAAACGCTGAGTTGTGCCATGCTGAGCTTAACTAAACTGAACTGAGCTGAGGCAGAGGATGGGCAGGGCCGGGTGGGAGACTTGATGTGCTGTTTGATTCACATCACCCCCGCACACACACACAAGCACACACAGCCTGCCTCTTTTCTTCATCCTCCCCTCCCTCTGCCTCCACCCTTTTTTACTTTCCCCGCTGAGTTAGGGATTGGGGAAATGCCCAGGAAGCAGAATCATGTTGGAAGGGTGTGGTGGAGAGGGATGGAGAGAGGGAGGGGCTGCAGGGCCCTGTCACTCACCATGATTGGTCGACGGCTCTGCAGTCTCTGGGAGGCCTGGCAGCGGCTGCTGGTCCTCTCGCCTCGTGTCCACCGCTGGTTCACCAGCTCGCCCCGGAACTCATTCTCTATAAAGACGGAGAAAGAGAGTTGTCATGAGAAACAGAATCAGCACCGGTTTGGATACAGGGAGCCAGGCGAGGGGGGTGCTACTTTGAGGGAAGGTCAGGGCACTCGAGCATCCTTTATTAACTAAAGGCACAGTGTGTATGCTCTACACACACACACACACACACACACACACACACACACACACACACACACACACACACACACACACACACACACAACACACACACACACACGGTTAAGTGCCCCAGCTGGGGTCCCTGTCAGTCTGCTATTAGAATCAATCAAATGTGCGCATTTTTATCGAGCTTTTCAGGGTGCATATCTAAGCGAACAGGGGGATGGGCGCTGTGCGAGGAGAGGGGGTGAAGAATGGTCAGTAAATAATGAATCATACATAAATCAAGCCTATTTTTTTCTCCCCCTTTTTTCCATCAAGGTAATAGCTCTTGGCTTGGTCTTTGTGATTGGCCAGGAGAAACACACTACATCTACCACAAATCCTTGTTCCCTTCTCTCACACAAACTGGAGGTGCTAAGCACAGAACAGTGTTGTACCAACAGTCGAGGTGTTCTGTTTTTTTCCTAACCCTTTTTTCAAGTTCAGAGAGAGTGCAGAGTGTTTTTCTATGAATGCCCAAGGCTGAACTTTTCTGTAAGAATCTGTGAGGATCCCAAACAGCGGATGTCGCTCCCTCTCTATGAGCTGCTTCAGTGAAATCTGACTCTTTTTCAGAATCACATCCTACCCTTTAGCTCTCACCTTTCTATGGATGTGGCAGCAGCACGCAGTGAAAGAGGCAGTGCCCTTGAGTTTACACTGACTCCTCTCTCTGTATGGGCCACCTTTCTGCCTGTCCTCAACAAACGTCTCAGAGGAAATACAGAAAGGAAGGGGTCAGCGCACTCTGAGTCCACTCTATTCAAAATGAAAATGAAAGCGGCAGTACTGTGGAGGATTCATCAGAAGTCACAATTAATACAGTGTGAAGTCAAGAGAAAGATTAGAATGATGATTCTCAAACTGAATGATTCCAATGATTGTAGGAGCTATTTGAAATAACCTGAAGAGGCAACACAACTTGGCCTGCAGGAAGAGATTCAACTGATTCTCTAACACACTGAAAACACTGAAACTTGAATTGAATGTATCATGTAAAGAAGTACACACAGTTGTATTAGGTTAGTTGGAAGCAATAATATTAAGTTCAACTTTATATTATTGCTTTCAACTAACCTAATACAGTTACACACATCTGTTGACATAATACATTTAGTTAAAGTAAAGGTTTCAGTTCTTCAGTGCACCTTTTCATCAAGTTCAAACACAGCTACTGTCCTGCACCTGAACCCACAGCAGCAACGTGCACACTACAAGCAAACAGATAACAAAAGACTGCTTGTGCGTATCTGAGGGGTCCCAATGCAGAGCAGCCCCCCCACCCTCCATCTCAATCTCCATCTCCATCAAACGACCCCCCCCCCCTCCACGCCCCTCCGTACTCTCCCCATTATGTGCAAACCTCGGCAAAGCCCAGGCAGCACTCTTTGCAAAATGCTTGTTTATCAACTTCCACTCCGCCCTCAGGAAAAGTGTTTACAGCAGCAGTCCTGTTCCACTGTATCCCCATCTCTCCGTCTGCACACATCTTTCTTTCTCCCTCTCTCCTCTTTTCAAGAGAGCATCCGTCCTGTATTGTTAGTTTGGGGGCCAAGGAGCTGAGAGCCCTTCCTAAATGCCAAATATATAATAGTAGTGCAGTATTAGGACACGCTGCCTCAGGCCATGTGTCAGCATCCTTGCTCACTTTGTTCAGACAGACAGAAACACACCAGGACATCTTCAACTGCGAGAGGTATCTCATTTCTGAGCCTGTAATTAATCACAGAGAAAGGTTGCTAATGCACCTTTCTCTACTTTCATCTGTTGTTTCATTTGAAAAGCTGAACATCTGGATGCTCCGCAGATGAAAAAAGAAACATTAAAAGTAATTTCTGCTCAGGATATGTGCGCGCTTATTCTTTGATCAGATGCTGCTCAATCGCACCTAAAAGACTCGCAGCTCATTATTTTGCAGTGAAAATTGGAGGAGTATGAGACAAGTTCACCGGGGAGGTTCGGATAATCACAAGTGGGTGAAGGGGGAGATGAATACAGATTGAATGGATTTAAATATCTACTATTTTAATACCAATATTCCGTGTTTTAAAAAAATCTTTACATTTAGAAACCTGTCCTGTTTTATGAAAGAAAAAAACCCACAATGAATCGACGCGTGGATCAATTCATACGAAAAAAATCTTTTACCAGGAAACAAATTAGATTAATATCATTATGGGCACACAGCTTACAATGGGGCAACGAGGCCTAAACCCATAGTTAGATGAAATACCAGGGTGGACTGTCTGTAACAGTATTAGTGTACAGCATGGCAGCTTACCGCTCCTGTTAAGCAGGATTTAGAGACAACTTAGTGTGATTACAGAGAGCAGGGAGCACACAGAAATCACAAGTTGTGCAGCGGGATGCTCGTGTTACTCAATGCTTTCTTTGTGTCACTGGGTTAATACAAGTAACCAGATGATCTGCAGGCAGATGTGAACATAGTTTCAGATAAGCAGAAAAATACAAATCAGATTTTGTTAAAACCTTCACTTAAATGTTCACGCGAGGAGAAATAAAGCAGAGCGGACGCAACTAAAGTATTTTGTCAGGGTGGGTGGGGAGGTTTTATCAGTTATGGGACGGGAGTTTATGGGCGGGGTGTGGAAGGGATGGCGGCGCCATGGTAACCAGCTTTTGCAGGAGCTCCCCTGAGGGCCAGCCTGACCTCAGCATCTGAGAAACAAACTATCTCTGCTGCGTATAGAGAGAGATGGACTTTTATTAATCCTCGTGGGGAAATGGTTTCTCTGCATTTGACCCATCCTAGTGTTAGGAGCAGTGTGCTGCCATTTTGAACGGCGCCCGGGGAGCAGTGTGGGGAACGGTGCCTTGCTCAGGGACACCTCGGTAGTACTTGGTCTTGCCGGGACTTGAACTGGTGACCTTCCAGTTGCCAAGCCAAGTCCCTATCGACTTCGCCACCACCGCCCAAAGATATAAAACATACCTCCAACTTAGTGAGAGCGCCTGAAGGCTGCAGCTGCACTCTGTCATGTTCTGCATATTTCTGCATGTCATGCAGTCTCTGCCCACTGGAAAATGTATGCAGAGACTTACTTTTTAATTAATTCTGATTTATTTATTCCCCTTTTAACGCATGGCATGAAATTCATTATTTCCAGGCTTTCATTTGAAATGCCTCCTCTCTATTGAAAGGGGCCAGCCCTGACCTTTGCTTGTCTCTCTCAGATTTCTGATAGGCTTTGAATGACGAGGGTGCAATTTGGCCCCAGCTGCTCCTCCAACATGTTTATTGCCTCCCTCCTCCGGCACCTGCTGTCCTCACCACGGGCCATTCAGCCCTTCATAAATAGAGACGTTTCCTCCTATCACGGTAACTACAATAAAACAGAAGCAAGTTGATTTGAGGGCCGGTGCTGCATGCAGCTCCTCACTCTGTAGTACTGACAGCAAGGCACCAATAACCTCATTCTCTAATCCCCTGGAACTAGGCTACATTTCACAGGAAAAGTAAACAGAAGAAAAACAATAGGTGTTTATCATCTCTGCATATGATGCTTTCAATCTGAGCTCAGTGTTCGTTATGCATTAAGCCAACAATAGACTTTAAAGGGTCCTTCTGTGCATTTTCATTCATTAACTTAATAGCTGATCATTTTTTTAACTCCACAGCCTAACTGTTATTTACACTCTGAGGCCACCGCACTGAAATAAAAATGAAACATTTACTTTAATTAAATGCATTATATCAACAAATTACACATAACTGTATACGGTCAAGTTTAAAGCAATAATATTAGGTTTAAATAAAAAATATCCGGTTAAACTTGAACTAACCTAATACAGTTATGTGAAATCTGTTGTCATACTACATTTAATTAAAGTCACCCTTTCAGTGTCGCTGTGACTAAAAGCCAAAAATCATCCCGGAAAAGCATGTATTTATCAACTAACATACATTTCCCCTTAAAAACACAGTCTCACAGTTTGTAAAGAGAGCCTTTCTGTTATGGAAGTAAAGTCCTCCCTGCTGGATGATGTTCTCACATCTAAACTCACAGCTGAAGTTTCTCAGGAGCAGTGTTCGGCTGCTACAACAACTTGAGGGTGACATAACAGCGAGTATCATCCCTCATCTCTTTCCTCCATTTTAGGACGCAGGTGCTCTGACAGACCGCGAGGCGCACACACAGCACATTACGTGGCCATCTAAGCAAAGCAAAAAGGACGGGAGAGGGGGGGGGGGGGGGGGGGTAGTGATAAAAAAAACACACAACGCACAGGCTCACATTGTGCACCGGGAGAATCGCATTCTTACATCGGGCTCAATGTGCAGCTCGGGCGCGCGGTTCATTCTGCGCACTTTATTATCTGCGCAGCGCAAACAGCGGCTGACATTTGAAGAGAGCATCTCTGTTTTTGCTGCAGAGGATCAAATGGCAGAACCCCTCCCTCTCATGCACACTCCTTCCATCCATCCATCCATCCATCTGTCCGTGCAGCCACACACACACACACACACACACACACACACACACACACACACACACACACACACACACACACACACACACACACACACACACACACACACACACACACACACACACGCTCAGGGGTCCTGCTCAACGCCCACTGTCATATCGGAATAACACAATCTAGTGCCGAGCTCCAGATAGACATCACACTTTTCTGTGACAACCAGAAAGAGGGGAAACAGTGCGTGCAGTGTGCGCGTAGTGAAGAGTACAGTACACGAGCTAATTTATTCCTGGAGATATAGAAGGTGAAACTAGAGGACAGAGAGAATACACTCAGGTACCACTCTGTTCTCCGAGAGAGCATCCACAGCAATAATACACACACGCACGCACGCACGCACGCACACCGACAGAGCAGAGAGTAAACACGCAGAGCGGAGGTTCTGAGAAAGCGCCATAGTTGGTTTATTCTCACTTATATGAAGAGCAACATTAAAGGGCAAAAACAGCATCTTCTCCATTTCTAACCATAGCATCAACGAAGCGTTCTCACGATGTACAAACACCGAGTAAACGAGTATACTTTGAACGAAAATAGATTATATTGACCGCAGCTGAGAGAGTACGTTTTAATTCATAATCGAGGAATCATAAAATATGAAAACTAATCGCCAAGAAAATCTCGCTCCCGGTGCGGGTATAACATATTACAAGGATGAGGAGGATATCAAAGTTATGTTAAAACATGACTAAAATGTCTAGATTTATCATTTCATACCATTATCAAAATATATATGGTTACCTGTCTTCAAAAATAATTCCTGCGGGCTTTGCGCTGCGTCCTCACTCTTTGGAGAGTTGCAGGTTGCTGTCAAGTTTGCGAAAAAAGATATCCCGAGTAAAAGGTTTTAAAAACGATCATCTATCCCGTAACAAATGTCCAGATCTGATAAATAATACGCGCGAGCTACGGTCGGATGCCGGGGCCTCTGATGCTCTGCGCTCCGGCGCACGGCTCCGGATCAAGGCGTTAAGATGTTACTTGTTTGTAAGCAAAAACATGGCTTCATTTGCCTTTGTCAGCGAGAAAAAAACGTAATATTGACTTACCTTTCCCTCATGAGCCATTGTACCCCCCTCCATCCCCTCTCCGCACACACCCCCCATCTCCTCCCTCCGCCCTTTGCCATGACATCACGGAAGCTGTAGTAAAACCTCGAGCTTCAGATGGGCAGGGCTTGAGGTCCCCCCTTACTACAACTCAATGGGCATATGTACACACACTCCCTCTTTCTCTCACTTTCTCCCTCCCCCTCCCCCCCCCCCCCCTCCCTCCATCATACATCTTCAGAGCCTGACAACTTCTCACTATTTGTTTATCTTCTCTGCAACATTGTCCAAACATGAGAATAGAATGCTGCAGCACTCAAACACTTCTAACATCATGAAGATTTAGCATTTATTTCGCAATAACGCACCTCTCCGCAAACACAGCACCACGCAGACTGAGCTCATGATTTATAGATTGTCTTCAAGTTTCACCAATGCATTATAAAGCAAGTAATCCTTCACCCCCACACATGCAGGAAAATGGTACCGTCCAATAATTCATTCAAGGGATATGTTGTTCCTCGGCCTGGGGGAATTGATGTAGTAGTTGTATGCAGAGTTATATGTGCGCGGCACTGACAGCATCTGATAACTCCTGTGGGTTTTAACGACATATAGCAGAGAGTTTCCGAGGGAGATTTACGAAACAAAATGATTCTTGGGGAGGTGAGGGGAGGAAGAACCTTATCAATTTGTTTTATCTCTGGAAAATAATGTGCTGGAGAGAAATGTTTGCAGAAGAGTGATCAGTGTCAGCTGCAGATCTGCTGATAGTTCCAGCCTCATTGAGAGTGATGCCAGCTGTCAGCCAGCTCCAAACAACGCACTCAGTCTTAATAGTGCAAACTTCGAGTCGCTCCCAAATGTTGCTCTCACCGTGCTTTTTGCTTTGCTGTTTTGAAACCATTAGTGGAAATGACAACCATTCATTACAAGCCATTTGAGAATAGTCCCCACAAATGCCATCCTTTATCTGCTGTCTCCACGCCGCGCACGCAGGGAATATTCAAAAAGCCCAACCTTCAGCTTTCAGAAATTCTATTAAATTCTTATCTCTTTGCAGCAGGCTCTTTTTGTGCAATCCCATTGTTATGCATTGGAGCTGAAATCAATCACCGGCCGTGCACGCCGCATCAGGATGATTTCAGACTGTGCGCAGAGGATTCACTCAACAGCAGCATCAACAATCCAATAAACAAAAGAGGAAAATATGAAGAAAAAGCCCCGGGCCCTGATCCAGCAGAAGGGCCGTGTTCAAAATTGGGCCTACAGGTCAAAACTGAGGGCCCCACAGAGGGGACACATATATCTGAAGATTACAGAGCAGATAGAAAGTCTTTGTTTGGACACAAAACCGTCATATTTACTCAAATTGAGGATTATATTTTCCTGTGGTGAGATTTCAGAACTACGGACAGCTCCACAGGCTGTGTTTGTGTTCCTGTGAGTGTGTGTGTTCAGAACTCTGGACAGCCCCGGCCTGCACACACACGCTAGGAAACAAAGGCTTTGTCTGAACTGTTGGAAGTTATTTTATATTTAAAGGTTGTTTAAAAAATAAAAACATAATCCCAAAGTTATCTCAGTTATCCTAGTCGTCACTTTAAAAAAAAAAAACCTTATCATCATCATTAATTTATAATCGTTTGCTACTTAACTAAATTTAAACTTAAAAAAACGTAACTTTTATGAGCCAGAATCTTTAAAACTGAACGAAATGTAACTAAACTAGGTACTTTTATTTGAATGACTTTGTATTTTTAAAGGATAAGACTATAGAGACAGCAGCTGGGAGCTTCTTTTAAAACCAGTTAAACCCCACGGCCCGCGGGCGGGGGCAAAACGCAACATCTTGCAAGAAACAGCGTCTGAGGGCTTCTTAACATTTAATAAACTATGAATGTGTCATACTCACTTAACGGGAAGAAACTCAGCGAACAGACAATATTTGTTTATAACGAAACAAAAGGGTTCAAAGGCTCTGAATTAGCCCTGAGATTCCACAGATTCCAGACATATAAGTATCATCACTGAGCTATCAGAACTCGCGACATGGGAAGCAAAACCAGACATCACACTGCACGTAGCTTCACGGAGGAAACACGGGAGAAATTCTTACCTATGCTGTTGTTCTGATCAAAAGTCGTGTTCAATGGCATTAAAACGATAAAAAAAGCTGCTGAAGGTTAATCCATAGGTTAATCCAATGTGTCTTTGAAATGATTACTGATAATCCATCTTCATATTTATGTCAATAACGGAGATTTCATATTAGCTGCTACGAGAGTGTATGACAGCTTCCGGTTCCGGGGCATTGTGGCTACGCATCACTCATTCGCCAACGGGTAATGTTTAGATGGATTTAAGAACTTCCCCTCGATTCCATTCTATTCGAGTCTGAGACCTGGAAAACAGGCTCAGGGCATAACGTTGTCACACAGTGTGTGTGTGTGTGTGTGTGTGTGTGTGTGTGTGTGTGTGTGTGTGTGTGTGTGTGTGTGTGTGTGTGTGGTGTGTGTGTGTGTGTGTGTGTGTGTGTGTGTGTGTGTGTGTGTGTGTGTGTGCGCGTGTGGCATTAACATAAAGTCAAATCCAACCCACTCTGCTCTCTGACCCTTTGTTCTAAGTTGTAATAACTGAGTTAGTAGTATGTTATTAATAAATACAATAATAAGGGATTTAACTATTTATTGAAACGAAACTCAAATAAACCTCATTAGGAGCGTGTCTAAATGTTTGCTACTAAACCACAATTAAAGAAATGTAAAACAATGTTTTTTTTATAATCCTAAATGTACTAAACTCAATACAAAACAAAAACATGAACTAAACTTTTCTTGAAGTGACGTTGAAGGATTGTGTTTAAAGGCCGCAGCAGTGTAGCATCAGCTGTGTGTGTGTGTGTGTGTGTGTGTGTGTGTGTGTGTGTGTGTGTGTGTGTGTGTGTGTGTGTGTGTGTGTGTGTGTGTGTGTGTGTGTGTGTGTGTGTGTGTGTGTGTGTGTGTGTGTGTGAGAGAGAGAGTGTGTGTGAGTGTGCAGATGGGGGGCCTGCAGCTCTTTAACTCTGCACATTGTATGCATGGTGCTATAGTGTGGTGGCAGCCAGTATACATATTACATGGGCAGCAGCTGACTGGGCGCAGAGGTGGGTGGTGGGTGGGGGGGGGGGGGGGTGCTGTAGTCCCTCGACAGATGGAACAAGCCGACAGACTAACACAACAAAAAAAGTTTTTAATAAGCCCGCAGCTTGGCATTGTCCCCACGGTACCGGGGCCACACTGTCCCTCAGGGGCCAACTGCCCTTTGTCTGGACCCTCTCACCGGGCTCCATGTTTAGTCTCAGCTAGAAACTGAGCAGAAGTTTCTGTTTAGTTTGTGAGGGATTAAGTCCACCGTATCTTTAGGCCTCTTTAATCTCCAGTGTCCCTCAAACTGCTTTGTTTTGAATATACAAACTCAAAATATAACTTTCCACAACTTAGTTTTAATATTTATTTATAGCATGTCAATTGAAACTTCGTTAAGCATGGAAAGACAAATAACGCGCTTACTTGATCAAGTCTTCTTACATGTGTAAAGTTCACTTCTCACACATTTACTTGCACACTTGCAACTTTCCCTTGAACTATTTTATTTCTATTCTGCACTTTTGGTATTGTTTTATATCTTTTAAATACTTAGGTTGCATTGTTGAAGGAGCCTGCGACTTAAGTTTGTCATTGTCATAGCTACTGTGCATATCATAACACTTTTAAATCTTACAGTCATTCTCAGATGCCGAAACAGATCTCCTGCTTAAAGTTTCTTCAAGTTTAAGAAGTGATGATACGAACCTAGAAACGCGCGACACAGCTTCATGTTGGCGGAGCTCCGGTCCTCTCTGTGCGTTCCTCCGCAGCGCCGCTCCAACTTGACTTCTGCCGAGCAAAGTTGCTCAAACTTAGTTCAACTTCCCCAGCCGGCCGCCGAGAGGAGGGGGGCTGCTGGTCGGGGGAGGGGCCTGCTGACTGACACTCCCGCAGAGCCAATAGGAAGGCTCCGTGTCCTGCCGGTAGCTGCAGCCAATCCCCGAGCCCCGTGTCAGCTTTCAACAACAATAGCGACGCAACAAAGAGCATCTGCTGCGCCCGGCAACTTCTCACACTAACCCCCCCACCCCCAGGCAATCTCATTTCAACTTTATGAACACCCACTCCTCTCATACAGCTTTTTGCATATGTGCACTATTTTTGGGATCTTAAAACAGATTTTGAGTAGACAAAATAAAAATGTTAATGCCAAGTTTTTTAATTCACAAGGATAATCATCAAACTATATTTTGAACTGGGCAGTAAAACTTCCTTTTATCTTATATTCTGTGAAGTATAACACATTTAGGACATCTCACTTCTCTTAACAAACATACTTTATCCAAAACACAAAAGAATAACCTGATATATGAGGAACAACTTCAAAATAACTACAACAGGAATATCCTACAATTACTCTGCCACCTCATACCGCTCTGTGATTTTTTATTTGTAATGTTTGCAATGTACTTCCTATCATCTTTGTCTGTTGTGGGAAATGTATTTTTGTAAAGTGCCTATGAGTACTCAGATAATAAATGAAGCATTATTATTATTATTATTATTATTAACAAAAACAACAACAAAACTTGGCAGCAGTACCATCAGAAACTCACAGATGTGAGACTAAGGGATATTATGATGAGTCCTGCTTTAATACTTTGTTATTTTACGCATCACCCAACACGTATTAGTACAATGTTCCCATGTGAGAGCTGTCGCAGGTTTGAAGCACCTCCTCCCAGCAGATGTACGGATCATTCAGTAAGTTAGAGGGACATTTCCACTCTGACTCAGGGCATTCAGTGTCTGGGTCTGGGACAGCAGACAGGTCCTCCCTCCCAGCAGCAGATGGTCTTCCAGATAATGAGCTCTCCCATTGCTTGCTCCCATTACCCCTTCCCATCTCTGCAGCCTGTAGGGGGGAAGAGGCTCCACACACTCTGCTGCTCCTCTTCTGCACTTTGTTTCATGCATATTTCATCATATGATTGCTTTTTCCACGCATGCCATTTAAAATATGTATAGTTATAAATATTTTTAAACCACTTTACTATAAGATTAAATAACTTATTGTGTGCTTTGAAAACAAATAAACTAAATGAGTAGACACTAAACCAAACAAAGTTGACTTTACCCACCTCTCAAATAGCAAGCTTAATATTATAATTCCAAACTGTGGCTATTACATTGAACTTACATTCAAATCAGCCAGACTGCGCTGATCCTTTAGGAGCCTGACACATACACTACACCTCCTTATCAGTTTGAACATTTTGGATGGTTTTAAACTAAACTGAATTAAAATAACTTTAACTTAATTATATTTAAATTGAAGAGAAAAAAATGTAAGTAGTTTTCATCGACAGCTGCTGTAATGTAAGGCATTCGAGAACATGTTCAATACTTAAAAACAAACTATATTTGAAAGAAACATCACGAAACACACTTTCTCTTTCTGCCTTTATTCTCTTAAGACAACGCAAGTAAGAGAAACACAATACAAGTCAAAGGGCGCACACATTCAGGCAGAGATCATCCCAACTCAAGTCTGGATCACCAGCCAGTATATTGTAATACTCAACTACCAGGAAAATAAGAATAATTGTTACTGACCAACCTGATCCAACCTCACTGTACTCCTCATTATATGGTTGAATAATTGTTCATTAAGGAAAGGACCAATAACAAAGAAACCCTCTTATAAACCAAAATGATCATCGCTTGACTACAGAAGTCCTTTCCCTAATTATGAGCTCAAATACGCCTGAAGTGTCACTTTTGAAACTACACTTTTCTAAACTCAGCTTTAGTTGGCTCAACTCATTATGATGTTGTATTCTCCAACAGATGAATCATCTAAACGGATTCATTCAACAGAATTAAACAACACGACTAAACCCATTTTTCATAAGCCCAAATTCAGATGATAACAGAACTAAATGAATGTTACAAACTTGTTTAAGCTTCAATTGTTCAAAATAAATACAACTAAATAAAGATAAACCGGCTCCCCGTAGATGAATCACATCTGCATTATTGAGTAGAATGAAACGTAATAGCATAGGAACACGTGAAGAGAAACACACACAATAACTCCACTGCTGGTTGGACCTGCTTCTGGTGGACAAAGACGGAGTCGCTGCTCAGGAGGACTCAAGTGTTTTATCTGAGGGTCCAGACCAGCTCCTGTATTCTTCCTGAGCACGGAGCTCTCATTAGCCCCCCCCCTGCTCCACTACACCCACACACATATAGTGCACGTTCACTGGCCTATGCAAACGCACAGAAATTAATGCGCGCACCACACACGCACGCACGCATGCACACGCGCACACACACACACAACCACCCCCTCTTGTTCTCTGCTGTGTATAACTAGCAGCTGAACTCTAACATAGCCTCCAGCTGTCCTGGAGACGGCAGTGACACAATAAAGTTTAAACACACACACACACACACACACACACACACACACACACACACACACACACACACACACACACACACACACACACACACACACACACACACACACACACACACACACACACACACACACACACACACACACACACACACACACACACACACACAGTGAAGAGCAGCTGGACCTTGTTGAGAAAATGACCCGGGTGAGCTAATTCATGGACATTTCCCTCCGTCTTCATCATCATCTTTATTCAAAATTCCTCTTAAATGTCCACGCCTACGCTTTCATTCTCATTATTCAGCATCTCCGATCGGAACAACTTTCCGAAGAGACAAAGAGGTCAGTGCTCCGCTGGAAGGGAAAACGTTTTCCCGTAATAAATGAGCAGATTTGTATTTGAAGTTACAGAAGAAGTGGAGGTTTAGTTTGTGGAGACACACTGGCGATATGAGTGGAGACGTTTTTCAAATGGTTTGCAACTAGTTGTGGACACACATGCACAGAAGGACGGATGACCTGCTCCCGGTTTCATGATTACATTCAGGTTCATAACAAGATAGCTTTATTGCCCCCCCTCTCACTTTCACCCCCCCAACCCTGCTCTCTTTCTCTCTAACATGCATGCAGCATGATCATACCCATATCTGTCAGCTCACATTAGACACAGCTCAGCACACAGAGGGATTTCTCCAACATCCTTCTTTGAACCTCAGCATCCGTCCGACATCCCAAAGCATTATCTCAAGCCTGTCTTATAACAATGCTCCCAGATGTTTTAGCCTGCTGTATGCATTACTCCATCACATACTGGCCTTCAAGAGATGGAGGACATATCTATGGAGGAATATTAGGGTAGGCAAAATGAAATAAAATAAGAGGAGGAATGTATAATGTGAGCACAACTGCTTAGTAGTTTGATTTATTCTCAAACGTTTCCACAACTATTCTAACTTCTATAATGCAAAACCTTACAGAAACCCTTCCTCTCAATGTTTCTCACACTCTTCCGGACAAATCATTATATCGCAAACTTATATGATGATATTTTTTTTGTAATATGGGTGTCAAGAAATTGGGAAAGATTAGCAAATTAGTCAAATGTAAAAACACCTAAAGATATTGAGTTTTATGAAAAAGAAAGGCAGTATAAAGATATAAATGGTGTAATACCATTCTTATGACAAACTGCTCGATTTCCCAAGACTTGTTTACCATCATTCCATATTTCTGTTCCGTTTCATTTGACCTGCACTATTGTTTCATGTGCACCAGTTTTATTGCACTCTTTTGTATTTCCTTAATACCTTATTACCATAGTGTTGCACTGTTAGCCAATAAAACAAATATAACCTGGGAATCTTTCAATCTTCCAGTGAACATGTTGTCTGCCTCCTCTTCCTGAAAAGGAGGCAGAGCAGCACAAAGAGAGAACATACTTCATACTGTTGCTCTGATCCAGTGTGTTATCCACTGTGGTGCTGTAGCGCTGCCTTCAACATGACACAGCCGGGCTCTCTGTTACTCTCTGTTACTCTCTGTGACTCTCTGTGACTCTCTGTTACTCTCTGTTACTCTCTGTTACTCTCTGTTACTCTCTATTACTCTCTGTGACTCACTGTGACTCTCTGTTACTCTCTGTTACTCTCTGTGACTCACTGTGACTCTCTGTTACTCTCTGTTACTCTCTGTTACTCTCTGTGACTCACTGTGACTCTCTGTTACTCTCTGTTACTCTCTGTTACTCTCTGTTACTCTCTGTGACTCTCTGTTACTCTCTGTTACTCTCTGTTACTCTCTATTACTCTCTGTTACTCACTGTTACTCTCTGTTACTCTCTGTTACTCTCTGTTACTCTCTGTTACTCTCTGTGACTCTCTGTTACTCTCTGTTACTCTCTGTTACTCTCTGTTACTCTCTGTGACTCACTGTGACTCTCTGTTACTCTCTGTTACTCACTGTGACTCACTGTGACTCTCTGTTACTCTCTGTGACTCTCTGTTACTCTCTGTTACTCTCTGTTACTCTCTGTTACTCTCTGTGACTCTCTGTTACTCTCTGTGACTCTCTGTTACTCTCTGTTACTCTCTGTTACTCTCTGTTACTCTCTGTGACTCTCTGTTACTCTCTGTGACTCTCTGTTACTCTCTGTTACTCTCTGTTACTCTCTGTTACTCACTGTGACTCACTGTGACTCTCTGTTACTCTCTGTGACTCTCTGTGACTCTCTGTTACTCTCTGTTACTCTCTGTTACTCACTGTGACTCTCTGTTACTCTCTGTTACTCACTGTTACTCTCTGTTACTCTCTGTTACTCACTGTGACTCTCTGTTACTCTCTGTTACTCACTGTTACTCACT